CCCCCCCCCCCCCCCCCCCCGGATCGCTGTTGACATTGCGAAAGCGAAAATTAGCTTTTTTATCAATCACCAGCCACTGGCCTGGCAGCAACCATTCGCGATCCCGTCACCGAGTACCTACGATGTTGTTACATCTTACATAACCTATTAAAATTCCGAGATTCCATTATTAACAGAAAGTGCGTTACAGATCGCCTCCTACGGTTTCTTATCAGTCCCTATCACTTGCTATCATTCCCTGCCACCAATCATTCACGCCCTTCACATCCCACATCACCTACCAAAGTGTCAAGACTTCATCGTTAATACAAATGGAAATATGAGTCCTGTGGCTTTTGCCTTTTAAGGCTCCCTATCAATCGTTGTCATGTCGGTGAGATTCCTTAGGTGATTGTAGGCATGCATTAGTACTTCTGAAGTCCATCAGTTCATCTCTGCTGAGGAAAATACACTCATCTACCATCTCCTTTGTTTCTTGTCAATAATGACACAATGGTACAAAGAACAATTAGCTCCCTCTCCTAATGGTGCAACATCTGCAACAATAAATACGCTTTCATCATCATTTGTACTCAAAATGACCTCTGCTACTAAGTATAATTACTAAGTACACAACCCTACCTTATAAGTATTAAGGAATGGAAAGAGAGTAAAGTAAACATACCGTAAACTTGCTGAACGGTAACCCATTCTAGCTATGGAATGAATTTAGTTGGAACATAACGCCTTCGGTTGTCTACTGTAGTGCAGATGCCGCGGGCGGTGACCGCGTTGGGGTTTCCTGACCCATACCCACGTCACCACAGTTCAACGATATTTTGCGAAAATTCCCCTTTTCTCTTCGAAAAAACTATTTCATTTATAGCTGGAACTGATGATGATTCATCGTGCAGACCCATTTTGCGTTGATAAAGCCGGAAAGACGCCATTCGATCTTGCATGTGAATTCGGAAAGGAGAAGGTCAGTCATTGGATCTGAACTTATAGGATCTTTTCAAGAAAAATTGAAATTTTCGCAAAAGGAACAGATAACAAATATGATAGGCCGTTGTTTTTGCAATAGTTAATCAGTTGAGAGCACGTTGTGCCTCTGATTGGCCGATTACGTTTCCCACCAATCACAGGTGCACCTTGCACTTTGGCGCGTTTGAAATCCAAGTTTTATGAGCAGTCCCCGTTTTGACCTCTTTCTACTAGTATGTACATATATCTTATTTTTAGATGGTCGAGTATATGTTGTTGATGGTCGACAACCCAGCTCTGCTTCAACATGCTGGTGAAGCTCACAAAGCATCGGCTCTTCATCTCGCAGCTCGAAACGGACACACTCATGTGCGTCTTAATTGTTAGACCGAATTAGACCGGAAAATCACTTCAGATTGGGGTTACTTTTTTCTTTCCCAACTCAAATGCCTCATTTTTCTAGCTAGAGACATTCACCCACTCCTGAAACAGGGCAAACTTCGATCCACTTGAAGGGCATTTCTAGTGGGTAGAACCAAACGCTTATTTCAAGAGTTTTTTTCAAAGAAATTTTAAACGGCATACTGTAAGATGTAGTGTGTACGTTAAGTGTGTGGGCGGAATCATTGACACCATTGCGAAGTCTTTATTGGTGAATGGCCTGCTATAAAGGGGGATTCACTTAAAGACCATCAAAGAGGAGTCAATGGTTTTATAACTTTGCCCCCATTGCTTTGACGTGTTCATTGCTTTTGAGCACTAGTTTCAAGACGAGTTCACTGAAGTATGTTCAGATCGTAAGTCGCTTATTGGAAAACGGATGGGACGTGAATCGAACGACCGTACTTGGCACGGCACTTCATGAGGCATCTGGTTATGGGAGAGCACAAGTTGTGCGTTTCCTCCTTCATGTGGGTTTTCTTCAGAATTGTCAACATTAGTAAAATATTAAACCAGTAACTAAAGTAAGCACATCATAATCGTCCTAACTCTTTCCAGATCCCTTTAAATTAAAACATAAACTTTTAAATTATTCTCCCTCAAGGAAACCGTCATTCCATAAGCTTGATAAACTCAGATCTATGCTTGTTGACGAAAGTATCTTTTCGAATTTGAGAGTGAGCCAGGAATAGGTCTTGAATATAAAATAATCAACGTTAACTGGTATTCGGTAAATGGTAATGACTCCGCAGTCAAGAAGATATAGTACTATCCAGTTCTGATGAATCGAACGCGGCGATTCCCCGAACAAATAATCTCCAAATATTACTGATTTGGGTAGATTTACATGTCTGAATCACCCTTTTCATGTCTCAAATTACTAGCTATTTCATTTTTCCAGCTACTAGTACTCGACGTCACTGTCCACCTTTGAATAAGTAGAAGGCTCGGGGAATATGGGAAGTAAGTAGAAATCATCTCAGCATTTCACTTATCATGCTGACAATGTCGTGGCACAATGCTTGACTTGTCAAAAAGTTTACAACAACGAAAACACCACGATTCTAAATGAAAAAGGGAATGCGAGGCGCATCCCAGTACGGGATTGACAAATGACAAAGACTTCGTAGCTCAAGAAAGACGCTGTGAGGACCACTAGGTCATGATTTTATGCCCCAAAACAGTTTATTTGAGCAGTAAGCGAAATGAAATCCAAATGCCACAGGGTATGTCACATTTATTCGTCCCCGTACCTAAGCTAATGATTCCTTCTGTAAAGTCTGAGAAAAATTGTTGGATTCGTAATAGATCAAAGCAGTGGAGTGGTATTATATTGTTACTTAACCATCACACTTGCTATCTCAAAGCAAAAGCAATGCTGAGCGGATTTGTATTGTCGGGCTGCAGTATAGGAAAGTAAAAAGTTCGTGAGATCCTCTCCTGCACAGTAAGAGGGCCTACATATATGTCAAGAACAAAGGCCCAGTTTGTTCCCAGCGTTGATTAATCACGGTTTTTTAGCGCTCACGTTTTCCACTCAGAACTGCAGTGGCACTTCGATGGCGTATGTGACCCATACAAAAACTCAAAGAGACAAGCCGACGTATAGCTTTGAATTCTAGTCCTGATGAATGAGTCTGTTACCAATTAACCGATCCTGCTTGGAACGGGCTTCGTTAGTCTGAGAGGACGGAATCTGGTCCCCGGGCTGTAGGTGTATTAGCGGCGCAACTCGAACCTACCCCACATCAAGGCACACTTGGGAAAAAAATTAAGTTGTTTGCTGTGGACCAATACCATTTCGGGATACGCCAGGCATTCCACTACCATTCAGGAATAATGAGGTCTTCCAATCCATATTTGCTTTTGAAAAGTTTTCGAACCCGTCCCCTCTCCGGACGCCGCCCACTCAACGTTGGCGGGTGTCACATTGTGGTCCACAAAGGGGCAAGTTCTTTCGATTGCCAAAGGGGAACGATTGCTGATCCCTTTCACGCTTCGTCGATTGCCATAACAAATCTTGCTGTTAAACACCTTTTATAATGGGATACTATGAATGGCATATGGCCGAATTTCTTCCCCGCCGAACGTGGTGTCCTTGAATGGTCGTCGATGCGAAACGAGCTCAGGAGGTTTAGTACGAGTCAGTGAGGGTCGAAAAAGAAGAACGTGTTGGTGATGTAGACGGTTTTTTCCATGATGTCGTTCAGTACGAGAACACTAACTCGTTTTAGGCAGGAATCAATTCATCGCTAACGAATGCATCTGGTCTAACAGCACTCGAATACGCGAAAAAGAATGCACATCGCAATCCAATCACCATTAAAGAGATACGATTCTTACTGAAAGGTAAGTGACTTTCGTCGATTCCTGTTTATCCCCGACCACATTTTGTCCTTTGGGTCTTATTAGATTCCAACGGTTCTTATACATCGATTTCCAAGCCTGACGTAGTGGAGACCAGCTCCTCGCCAAGATTCGGAGCTGCGAATCCACTTTGATTTTGAGGTTTCGTCAATTTGAAGCACATCTCGATTGCTCCTAAAATGACCCTTACCCCTTCTCTTGCTCTACCCTTACCCCTAAAATCTCCCATACTCCGTCCATGTATTCCCTGCTTAAATCTTAAAGTTGATCAAAAGTTGTGTTTTGCCTCTCATCAGTCTCTTTGTCTGCTGAATAGCCCCTGACAGTAGCTAATCGACTAGAAGGGCAGAATTATTTAAATATTGTATGTGTACTGCAGTCTCATGCATAACCAGTAGAAGAATGCTTAGCAGAACGCTGTCATTTTACTTCGATTTTAAAGATCCTGCGTTCTCCTACGTTCTGCAAACATAGAAAAAAGATGTGGCCGTTCACTGATAACTGATGACTGGCTCTGGATTCCTCGCTTTCAGTCAGCTGAGATTTCACAGAATCGCCGGAGTCGTGCCAATTTAGAAACAGTCTGAGGGTAGCCGTAGCTGCCAAAAGATGCCGAGCATCGAGTGACTACGCAGCGCGACCGCTCGCGCAACCCTGCTACCCTAAAGGAGCGCTCCGCCCACTTTACATGTGAATAAGCCCAACTTCTCAATCTCTGTGAAATCGGCTTGAAAACCCCCATAACGCAAAATTAGATTGATTAGGAGAAAAACTGATCGTAAGCATGCCCTTCCTGATCTGTCTAGTCAGTCCTATCTATTTCTTTTGAAATTCTGTCGGTTTTCGACCGAGATTAACAAGAAATACAACAATCCATGGCAATCAGATGTGCACTTTACTAGTTACAGAACTTAGATTTTCAAATGTATCATATAATTGTAGTATTACTGTTTGTCACAAACATTTTCCCCGTCTTTATCCTACTGTCAACGACCTCTCAATGCCCGCGCGTCACCTAATTGCTCAGTGACGCTGTGCCTCACTTACTTACTTATCAGCGTCGCCGATCGTTTAGTTATTTCACGCGCACGTCGTTCACAAGGGCACTCAGTGCCTGCTCAACCACGCCAGGTAGACTGCTGGCGGATTTGACCCTTTCCATAGGTAATTACACTCCCTGACCTAGCCGTTATCCCTACGACCACCAACGATTAGCTGGATCTCTCGCCTCTCGTATCCCTGATCATCTTGCTCTTGAGCTCTGGACCATTCATTCATTTGCCACCTGCTACTAATGATAACTGGTAATGGTTGTGGTAATGTGTGTACCACAAGTATACCACTTGACTCGTATGTTTCGCATACGTGCACGTAATCCTTTAGTTAATTGATCTCTGGCTTGCCTATTCATCAGAATTGACTTTATATCATATAAAATAGATGAGAAAATTATCGATTACCTGTGAGTTAGTCCCCGTGTTCATTGCGCTTCTGCACTTTGGCGCCCAAATTTGGTTTTAGACCACGCCCATTTTCTATTAACTTAATAACTGATTTCTATAACCAGTTATAAACAATTTTCGTAGATCCCTCTTATATCCTCTCTTATTTCCGATCCCCTACTGATTTTCCTCCTTTCAGAACTACCTTATAGAACTCAGAACTCTTTAGATGGTTTTGCTTACGCCTCATATCGCTGAATCACAATTGCAGTTCATAAAAGAAGTAAATAACCAGTATGAAAGTGCACATTACAAGTATTCTACTGCCATGTACTCCTTTTCCAAATCAATGCCCCGACTAAACGTTTTGCGCAAATGCAAAACGAATTCCGGAGATAACATCGCTAGAATTCGTTTCAGAATACACGTCACAGCATAAAAAAGGCCTATGTGCCCTATCGGATTTCCCCTTTGTGACTGATTTGGCTGGCATTTTTTATAAAATACACTTTGTACATGGCATTTCCAGGCTCTGCTCAACCCCCATGTCTCCGTGGTTTTGAGCTTTTGGGCCTTATATTCGTTTTTATTTAGTTTCTAAATGGCCTAATATTCGTTTTTATTTAGTTTCTAAATATACTCTCGCCGTCCCTCCTCGTTGTATCAGAAGTTTTCTACATGGGTGGCATCAGGGAGCGATAAGAACGTAGAAAGATGCCAAAGAACTGGTCATGTAACAGTTGGGAACCTGTTTGTCACCGTGGAATTTCTGATGTTTTTAAGTGAAAACCATGGAACGAAAACGAGAAACTGGATTGAGCCCTTATATTTTTCGTTCCCAAACACTCCCGGACTCGGTCCCCTGATCGAACAAGAGCCAATAAGTCTGATCCTCTAGGAGAGCGCAGGGAACGAGAGTGATGGCAGTCGACCTCGTGGGGGGCACCTGCGCGGTGGGCATAAACAGAACTTAGATCGTTTACTTACTTCGACTCCTCCTCGCTAACTTGTTGGTAATCGCTCTTGGCAGATCTTCTCACTCCACTTCTACATTCATAAACCATGAATTTTTATATTTCAATTAAAGTCTCCTTGCTAAAGCTTTTACCAGTTAGGCATTACTCTTGTCAGGGAACGAGAGTGATGGCAGTCGACCTCGTGGGGGGCACCTGCGCGGTGGGCATAAACAGAACTTAGATCGTTTACTTACTTCGACGCCTCTTTACCAAGTTGTTGGTGATCGCTCCCTCACTTCATTTACTCTACATTCCAAAATCATGGATTTTTATGTTTTAATTAAAGTTTCCATTCTATAGCTGTTACCAGTTTAGGCTTACTATTATGCCACCTTCCCTTTGCCGCAGTCGGTTTCAAAATTAAATTCAAGGACATTGCATGTACTTGAGTCTGGGAATGCAGGAAATCAACCGCAGGGGAGATGATTTTGTTGAGTACCACCCATTTTACATGCACTTCGGGTCGTGGGTTAATTTCCTGGATGAGTTGTTTTCCATCCGCCGGTGCTGCCAAGTACTGCTCAGAACACCCAATTTTTCGGAATTAGACCCGCTCTATGAGTTCACCAAGATCCTAGACGATAGTAGGAGCCTTCTGCTAAAGATGGGGAGGAGGTGTGAGGTGGAGTGGCTGCCGTTGATTACTTTCTAATATTGGTATGCGGCATTATGTGGGTATGCGGTAGCAAAGGGGCTGCGCGGTCATCGCCTATCGATCATGGTCACGGTCACTCATCCATGGCGAATGCCAGGGTGTTTTTCCAGTCGCTGGTCCTCAACCCGTTCCCCACCCTGGCTCCCATCCATTGTCTTCACCTCCCTATCCCGTCATTCCTCTGATACCAAGTCGTTTTCTTTCTCTT